CAATGTTCATATATATGGAAAATCATTTTTACTATCTGTTCTTTCGTGGTATTGTTGCATTTGTACAAGTAATGTGTCATCTTCTCATTGGTTGGGTTGATGGTACTAGCATCTCTCACTCCTCTAGTGAATGGCTAAAATTGTATATCATAAGGGGTTACCATTTCTCAAGATATATATATATATAGAGAAAAGATTGGGAAGGTTTCTTGGGGACTAAGTTCCCTAAGTGCAAATTGTCAAAGTTGCCATTATGGCCCCTTTTATCCATCACATGGTCAACAACTTGGGCTCCAAGACATATATATATGTATATATATGATATTTGTATGAGATATTTGTATTTATAAACATAATATAATACAAGTACATTAATTAATAAAATATTACAATTAGGGGTTGGAATGTAATAAAATAAAAGTGTATAGGGACCAAGTCTAAATTTATGAAACCTTGATATTTAGCATACAATATACTAGCCTTAGAAAATAGTTAAAATAATAAATTTGGATCCTGTTAAATTAAAGCGCAAACAAAGGCGAGAAACCGAGCAAAAACGACGTTACCGGGAATTAAGATTTTAAAGTGATGAATCTATAATTATAGGGTCTAATAATTAATAATATGGTTTTAAAGGTGATTATTAATCTACCGGGATCGATTAGGGTTTACTTGAATTAATCCGCGATGCTTTCTGATTCTAGGGTTTAAAACGCAATTAAATAAAAATTCAAGGGCTTTATTGAAATAAACTCAAGGTTAGGGATTTTATGGTAATTACAAAAATTAGGGTCTCTACAAGATGCCTGGTCTTGACCCATCTCTTGTCACCCATCACCTGGATACTTTTCCCAACTCTAAGCTAATAAAGCAGCATGCTCGAAAGTATCACCCTGACCTTGAGGCAAAGATTAAGGAAGAGGTAGAAAAGTTGTCGAGGGCCAGGTTCATTGAGCCTATAGAGTACCCAACTTGGCTGGCAAATATTGTGCCGGTGTGGAAGAAGAACGGCCAGATCAGGGTCTGCGTAGACTTTCCCGACCTGAATGAATGAGGCCTGCCCGAAAGATGAGTTTCCATTGCCCCATGTTGACACACTTGTCGATTCTACTACGGGCCATAAGATGTTCTCCTTTATGGATGGGTTCAGTGGTTATAATCAGATCAAAATGGCAATAAAAGATGCAGAAAAAACGGCATTTAGAACACCCTTGGGAAATTTTTTCTATACGGTGATGCCCTTCGGTTTGAAAAACACGGGGGCAACCTACCAACGGGCTATGACTGCAGTGTGCCATGACATGTTGCATCATGAAGTGGAAGTATATGTGGATGATCTGGTGGTCAAGTCCACCAAGGCAAACTGACACCTCTGCGACTTGGAAAAAGTTTTTCAGCGATGCCGCAAATTCTGCCTAAAGATGAACCCTCTCAGTGTGCCTTCGGAGTTACCGCCGGCAAGTTCCCTGTCTTTTTTGTACACCAGCGGGGGATTGAAGTAGATGGGGATAAGATTAAATCAATCATGGAGATGCCACCACCACACTCTCAAAAGGCTTTGAAGAAATTCCTAGACAAAGTGTCATACCTCAGGAGGTTCATTCCAGCCCTTGCTGAGATAACCTTTTCCTTTGGGACACTGCTAAAAGGGAATTACAAGTTTGAATGGTTGCTAGAACACCAGCAGGCATTTGATATGGTGAAGAAAGCACTTACAATGATTGCCCTACAACCCAACAAGCCTCTGCTACTGTACCTGACGTCTACACGTCGGTCTATTGGGGCTCTACTTGTCCAAGACATAGATGGCATTGAGAAGCCAGTCTATTACATCAGTCGCAAAGTCAATGGTGTCGGGTCGCGATATACCCAAATTGAGAGGCATTGTTTAGCCTTAATCTTCACAGCGCGGAAGTTGCGCCACTATTTTTTGGCACACCCGATCCATGTTGTGACCTCGGAGTGATCCGGCCTGCTACTTGCTAAGCAAACCCGCTCTGACTGGAAGAATGGCAAGATGGCTTTTGGCTCTAGCATAATATGACATCACTTGTGTTACTCCCAAGGCTATTAAGAGCCAAGCACTTGCAGACTTACTGGCCCAATTCCCATCTGGTGAACATGAACCTACAGAGGTATCTCTACCAGGTGAGGTCCATGTCTCAGCAGCTGCAGTTGAGGCTTATTGGGACTTAAAATTTGATGGAGCTTCGGGAGCTGGAAAAGGCGGAGCTGGCATAACACTAACCAGTGAAGAAGGAGAGAAGTTTCATCTATCATATAAGCTTGATTTTGAACGTTCCAACAACGAGGCTGAATATGAGGCGTTGATACTGGGTCTAATCGCTGCCCAAAAGAAGGGCCTTTGCAAGTTGAAAATTTGGGGTGACTCTAAGTTAGTTGTCAGGCAAACAATGGGTGATTTCGGCTTAAAGGAGCCTCTGTTGGGCCCATATCGCACCGTGGTTCAAGGGTTGCTCACTCAATTTGATGATGTCCAAATCTAGCATACCCCTCGAACACGCAACCGTTTCCCCGATGCCTTGGCTACACTGGGGGCAAAGGTGGATATACCAGATGATAGTATAGCCATCGTCATCGAGAAAAGAACAACACCAGCAGTGTTAGCCGAAGAACATACAGAGCATGAAGCTGAGGGATGCAAAGCAGATATAATCCAACAGAACAGTTGAAAACAGGCCAGGGAACAATCAGACTAGCAGAACTTGCATAATTTTTGCTCCTCAGAGGAGAGTTGTATTTTTGCGGTGCCAATAACTTGCTGGCAAGGTGCATCGGTAGACAAGAAGCAACTTACAGAGTTAAGCAGATCCATGCTAAGTCTTGTGGAGATAGAGATAACGGTCTATACCGGCGGATACAGAGGCAAGGGTATTACTGACCAGAGATGGAAAAGGAAAGTACTGAGTTGCAGAGGCAATGTGCAAAATGTCAATCCCATCCTAAGGAAGAGGAAGCCCATTTCTTAAGCAGTGAAGAATGGAGGTAGCCATATGTCGACTACCTTGGAAAGGGCACACTGCCTGAGAACAAAGCCGATGCAATCAGAGTTAAGAGGCGGGCCCTCCGCTTCTTCCTTGACCAAAGGATGAGGCAAATGAGGTGCCGAGGGAAGCCCACAAGACAGAACATCAAGGAGGACAGCGATTATATGGACATCTCATTCACCTCGGCTACTACTGGCCGACAATGGAAGAACATGCTAAAAACTTTGTAAGGAGATGCCAATCCTGCCAGAAGTTTGGGAACTTGATACATGCACCGGCGGTTGAGCTGCACAACATCAAGACCCCTTAGCTGTTCCATACTTGGGCATTTGACAGCGCATTAATCGAAAGTCCACAAATTGCAGTGACTGAAGTTAGTACCAAATGAGTGGAGGCTATACCGATGAGGAAGGCAGACGGGGCAGGAGTACCCAACTTCATCAGAGAAAGCATAATCTGTAGGTTTGGCATACCAAAAGTAATGTTGTCCGGCAGTGGAACTCCCTTTGTAAATCGTCATGTGGGAAGACTGCTGAACGCCTACCAGATCAAGCAGCACAAGTCTAGTCCATTCTACCCCCAAGGGAATGGACAAGCTAAGGCGACCAACAAAACCATCATCCAAATATTGAGTAACATGATGGATGAAGCAGGGGGCACATGGTTTGAACGACTCCCCGTAGCACTCTGAGCGTATAGAAGAGAAAGCCAACTCAGGCAACCCCATTTTCCCTAGTGTACGGGTCCGAAGCTGTGTTACCAGTTGAGTTGGTAGTACCCTCAGCAAGAATGGCTATGTCAGCACACTTAGTTCCAGACAGCAGAAAGAATGACATAGAGGCTGCTGAAGAAAGAAGAGATTGGGCCTCGCGGGCAATGGAAAAGTATCATCAATCTGTAGCTCGTGCCTACAATCAATCTGTTCAGCACAAGAAGTTCAATAAAGGGGACTTGGTATGGAAGACAGTGGACGCAATCATGTGGGGGCAACCAATTCCCAAGTTCTCACCAAGATGGGAAGGCCCCTACAAAGTTGCTGAGGCAAGCAGCAGCGGGTACTACAAGTTGACAAGAGTAGGTGATGGGTTCAAAACTGGCCCTATCATCGCCACGTTGTCTGCATGCTCGAGGAAACCATCGACTGCTTGAAGCCTATCCCTCATCCACGATAGGTCCAAACCGTTCCTCTCAAAGCCACTCAGGTTTGCCTCGACACTTTCCACGAACTTGCTAGGGGTTGTTAGAATCTTCTTAGTACCAAGGTCGCGAATGAAGCTGGCAAGTGACTCCAGCAGTGCTGTCTGCACCATAGATCCAGGAGTGTTAAAAGCAGGAAAGGTACCGGGGTGCAGCGCCTGGATGCGGGGCGAGAGTGAGAGCAGCTACGGAGGAGAACAGTAACTTAGAAAAGAAACTTTCTGTGAGGGCTGAGGCGACTCCCTCACACCCACGCCAGCCTCAATCACTGGAGGGAGACTGGTGGAGCGACCAAAGGTCTGAGGATGACGCACTTCCCCTGAAGATGATTGCCCGACAGCATTGGAATGGGTAGATGCAGTGTTGGCGACCGGGTGAACTAGCCTCGCGAGAAAGACTAAAGCTGCCTGCACTGTCATGTCGCTCCGAAAAGAGGTCATCCATCTGGTAGTCTCCAACGTTCAGATCTGGAACAACAGTGGTATCCATTCCAGTATAAAAATCTCGGGATACCCCAAGGTCAGCTGACACTTCTGGAAAGTGAGTGGGGTACAAGTCTGCCAGCTGCTCAGAAGTTGCCGAAGCAACTGGGTCAGAGGTCCCAGTGACAGCAATAACAGTGTGGGTGGCTAAAGTGACAGCTACCTCTGCAAGTTGGTGCAAATTTAGAGGGGCCACAACAGGAACAGTGGAAGCAACCGCTACACTTGCACTCTCCTTAGCCACTGGGGCGTTTGGAAGTGGGGTCTGTTAAACCAATGGAGACTCAGCGGACTGGGAAGAACCACTAACCACCAGATGCAGCTCCAAAGGGAGGTGGTGCAACTTCCAGCGGCTCTCTCATGCCGCTATCTTCCCTTGGGGTCTCAGGGAAAAAATCGTCTCCGCAGCAGAGGAACGGTCGGAGTGCACAAAATCAGCGAGGTTTGGAGTCTCTGCACCCTCAGCAACTAGGCCGCCCGTAACAACTTCCACAGCAGGGGGGACTTCATTTTCTGCAGCCTCCACAACTGGCTCAGCCTCAGTAGTTGGTGCGGGCTCAGCACTTGGTTCTTCTTCAACATCTGGAAGTACTGTCCTGCGGGTCCTGAACCTTGTGACCCTTGTAGCAATGGGAAGGTCGTCGTTGTCGTCGTCGTCGTCGTCGTTGTCATTGTCGTCGTCGTTGTCTGAATCTGAGGAAATTCTGATGGCAGTAGAAGAACCTCCGGGGCCGGTGGTATGGCCGGTGGGCCCTTAAAAGAAAAAAGGTTATGTGATTACCAACGTAAATGTAAGAAGTCCAAGGAATGTGATTTCCGGTTAGTGATGCTTCCAGCCCAATCTACATCTGTATGTACTTCCACTTGAAGATGTCCTTGTTTTTTAAATATCAAGCCTTTATCCGGAGTTCCCTTTAGATACCTTAGGATCCTGTATGCTTCTTCAAAGTGCTCATTTCCTAGTGAATGCATGAATTGGCTTACTCTGCTTACTGCGAATGCTATGTCGGGACGTGTGAGATTAGTATATTAGTCTTCCAACAAGTCTCTGAAATATTCACCGCATCTTCAATTCTAGCATGATGTAGCTTCAAGTTGAGTTCGGTTGGTGTTTCAGCAGCTTTACATCCGAGCAAGCTTGTTTCTTTGAGCAAGTCAATTGTGTACTTGCGCTGAGTGACAAAAATGCCCTCCTTAGATCTAGCGAACTCCATTCCAAGAAAGTATCTTAGTGCTCCAGGACCTTTATCTCGAAATCTTTAGCAAGTCCCTTCTTTAACTTTTTCGATTCGGCACTATCATTACCTGTTAGAATTATGTCATCTACATAAACAATCAAGCTAGTTACTTTACCTTCTCTTGAGTGTTTATAGAACATAGTATGGTCTGCTTGGCTTTAACTGTATCTGAGGTTTTTTACAACCTTCCCAAAGCGTTCAAACCACGCCCTTGGGGATTGTTTGAGGCCGTATAGAGACTTGTTTAATTTGCAGACTTTATCTATACCAAACTTCTTTTCAAAACCTGGAGGTAGGTTCATATAGACTTCTTCTAGATTTCCATTTAAGAAGGCATTTTTTACATTTAATTGATGTAGAGGCCAGCTGGAATTAGCTGCTAGTGACAGTAAAACCCGAATTGAGTTTATCTTGGCAACTGGAGCAAAGGTTTCTTGGTAGTCAATCCCAAGGGTTTGTGTAAACCTTTTTGCCACGAGTCTCACCTTATATCTTTCCACGCTACCATCAGCTTTGCACTTCACTGTAAATACCCATTGGCACCCCACTGTCTTTTTGTCCTTAGGCAGATTCACTAACATCCAAGTACCGTTCTTTTTTAGAGCATTCATCTCTTCCATAATTGTTGATTTCCAATTAGGATCATCCAAGGCTTTCTTAATAATTCTAGGAACAAACAGGTTAGATATTTTTGAAGTAAATGCCCTATGACTTTTGTAAAGTTTATCATAAGATAAATATTAAGCAATGGAATGTTGGGTACATTTTTGAATTCCTTTCCTAATGGCTAGAGGAAGATCACAATCTGTGGGTATAACATTAGGTAAAACCGCTGAAGGAAATGGAGATGAAGTAGAGACAGATGATGGAGGAACCAGATTAGGAATACGAATACCTGAACTACTTGAGGGACCTTTTTTAAGAGATTCTGATTGGCTTTGTGGTAGAGTGGTTGGCTAGTCTTTACTTTTTCTTTGAGTATTTTTCTGAGCATAAACCAAAAACTCAGGTTCGGGAACAGTTTGTTCCAATTGTAGTATTTCTCCCCCTGCTCGTGAGCCTTCTATGTTTGGAGAAGTTGGACTGGGATTTCATTTGTTCTCTATATCTTGAATACCCTATTTCTGTTCTTGTTTTTCATAAAACAAGGGATGGAGATCGAATAGGATTTGTAAGGAATCCGAAGTTGTCTGCCAAAAATTTTCTTCCTTTCTCTTTTTCTCTCCTTGAAGAGAATTTTTGGTAAAATAGGATTGAGTTTGAAGAAATGAGACATCTATAATCACCCGAATGTTTTTTGTTTGAGGATTATAGCACTTGTAGCCTCTTTTGTTTGGAGCATACCCGATGAAAACACATTTTTCTGCTCTAAGATCAAGTGTGGATCGAATTTGGCTGGTTATGTGAACGAAAATAGTATAGCAAAAAATTTTTAAAGGCAAATCTGAATTAATTTTGCAATCCTGAAAGGTTTTTTTGAGTTACTGCTTATGTCTACAAATTGGCTTTCATACTTAACCAAAAAAAAAAGAAAAAGAAAAAGAAAAAACAAGAATAGGGTTAAGTTAGTAGTTTATTGGTGGTAGTTGCTACATAATTGATGTCTGTTGGGCTATATATAATAAATCCACGTGTTTTTTGGGAGATAAATGTAGACCTTTTTTTATTCAATGGCAACTGAGTAGCGAGTAGTAACACAAGTGCTGAAGACTAAAGAATTCCTCAACTGAGCAGTGAGTCAACAACCAGGTTATCTCAGTTATCACTCAAGAATTCCTTCACTTACATTGCTGCCATTGCTTGGAAATGGAGACTAAATTGGGCGCAGGTTTTTTTTGGTTTTTATTTTTTTCTTTTATCCTTTTCGATGTTGTGATGCAGAGCGTGATGCTTTGGAAGCTGACATGGGCATGGAGATAGAAGGTGATGGGCGTGCCCGCATATCTTCAACTCGATCTGGAAGCAGATCTTGTCTTGCCTCCTGCACCAGCTGGCAGAGTCGACAACCAGGTAATTTCTAATCTCAATTGTCACTCAAGAATAAATTCACTTACATTGCTACAATTTCTTAGAAATGGATATCGTATTTCATGAGTAAAAGATCAAAATTATTCTGTTGACATGGCTTCTACATGTTCCAATTAGTATGGTGTTAGAATTGTATGATGCACGATTAGATTCATACAATTTAATGAGTTTCAACCAAAATTATTTGAATTGTGTTGTTTGAAAATTGGGTGTGCTGTTGAATTGAGAATTGAGTAGTTCGTCTATGTTTTTGTTTACATAATGTATTGAAATGACGCCTTCTTCTGTTACTCTACGATGAAACAAAAATTGGGCAATTGGTTATACTGATATATGTGGTTATATATAATTTATTTATATTGATACTATGTAGTATTTGACTTTGATTGCTACAGTGTTCCCACATATGTGTGAGGTTTGGAAATTCCTTTCCAATAATTCGGGCTGTATTTGATAAGCATCCTGCGGATCTTGTATGAGAAGGAAATAAGAAACGGAAAAAAAAAAAAAAAAACTTTGTTTATAGTTTCATGTGGAAAAAACATGCAAAGAGCGAATTGCTAATACATGTATTTGTGAGAATAAGTTTTCTGAGTCAAACTGTATATCTCATTAAATTGAACAAAGAATACATCACTCACTTATATAGAATGCTAAATCCTAATCCTAAACAAAATACATCACTGATAGAGAATGCCATTAGCGATAGAACACTAACATTAATTCCTAATCCTAAAAAGAAAAGGAAAACGGAGAACACTATTCTCACACCCCCCCTCAAACTCAAGGTGTTTTAGCAGAAAACACTGAGAGTTTGTCAAGAAAAAATCGAAACCGAGCAGTGGTGTGAGTCTTGGTGAAGAAATCAGCAAGTTGCAGAGTTGAAGAAACAAAAGGAAGCGAGATAACGCCAAGTGACAATCAATCTCAATATGCTTTGTCCGTTCATGAAAGATAGTGTTATGAGCAATTTGAATAGCACTTCGGTTGTCACAATAGAGAGAGGTCGGGGAAGACTGAGGGACACCCAAGTCAAATAAGAGACCACGAAGCCAGACAATTTCAGCAGTAGCATGAGCCATAGCACGATACTCAGCTTCGGCATTAGAACGGGCAACAACAGTTTGTTTCTTGCTTTTCCAAGAAATCAGGGAATCGTCAAGAAACATACAAAAATCATAAGTAGATTTACGATCATTAACATCACCAATCCAATCAGCATCAGTATAGGCCACCAAATCTAACGAAGAAGTAGAAGAGAATAGCAAGCCCTGTAAAATAGTACTGTGAAGATAGCGAAGAATTCGAAGCAAAAAACTGACTAACCACATGGACAACATAGGCAAGATCAGGGCGAGTAACTGTCAGATAGACTAAACAACCCACAAGTTCGCGATATAACGTAGGATCGTCCAGAGGAACACCATCAGTAGTGTTAAGCTTCACATTAAGCTCAATGGGGGTATCAGAAAGCTTAGTGTCAGTAAGCCTGGCACGATGGATAACCTCGTTGGCATACTTAGCTTGGGATAGAAAGTAACCCTTGGGAGAAGAAGCCACTTCAATACCGAGAAAATACTGCAATAGTCCCAGATCCTTCATTTCAAAGGTGCGGAAGAGATGCTGCTTGACTTCAGAGATAGCAGCAGAGTTAGAGCCAGTGATGATCATATCATCTACATATAGTAAGAGAGCAACAAAACCAGTCGGGGTATGTCTCAGAAATAGAGCAGAGTCGGAAGCAGAAGGATGAAATCCAAGCTTGGTAACAGCAGTCTGAAAGCGATCATACGAAGCACGAGGAGACTGCTTCAGACCATACAGAGCACGTCGAAGACGACAAACTCGGCCAGAGGAATGGTGAAGACTAGGGGGAGGACGCATGTAAACCTCCTCAGTGAGATGGTCATTAAGAAAAGCATTCTTAACATCCATTTGATAAAGAGGCCAAGAACGAATAGCAGCGACAGAGATTAAAGTACGGACAGTAGTCATCTTGGCAACAGGAGCAAACGTCTCCTCATAATCAATACCATATTCCTGGGAGAAACCTTTGGCAACCAGACGGGCTTTATAACGCTCAAGAGAACCATCAGAATGAGTCTTGACTTTGTAGACCCATTTGCAACCAACCAAATTCTTACCAGCAGGTAAAGGAACCAACTCCCATATATTAGTTTTCTGTAGAGCAAACAACTCATCCTCCATAGCTTGAACCCAATGAGGATCTTGACAGGCTTCCTTATAAGATTGAGGTTCTACAAAAGAGTGAATAGCAGACAAAAAGGTACGATAGGAAGCCGAAAAACAAGTATTAGACCAACCCAACCTGTTTGGAGGATGACGCGCGCGAGGAGGATATCGGTGTACAGTAGGATCAGAGTCGTCAGAAGCAGGAGGATCAGCAGTAGGGGCAGAGTCAACTGGTGGAGGAGGAGCCTTGCGACGAGAATAAACTAACAACGGAGAAGGAGAAGAGACCGAAGAAGGAGAAGCAGCGAGAGGTGAAGAAGGAGGAGAAGATGGAATAAGCTCAGGAGTAACTGTGGAGATGTACTCATCAGACGGAACCTCAGAAGGAAATGGATCAATATGAACCAAATCCTCTTTGGAAACAGGGGCGGTGAGAGGAGGAAGCTGAAAGTAAGATAGACGTTCGAGAAAGGCAACATGGCGGGAGACATAAAGGCGACGGGAAACAGGATCATAATAGCGATAACCTTTCTGAGTGAGTCTATAACCCAAAAAGACACATAGGACAGACCGGGCATTAAGTTTGGTCCTATCTTTATGGGGTAAAAGGACAAAACAAGTAGACCCAAACACACGAAGGAGAGAGTAATTAGAAAGTTGAGAAAACAGAGCCTCATAAGGAGACCGATTAGAAAGAAGAGGGGTAAGCATACGGTTAAGAAGAAAAGCAGCAGTAAGAACTACCTCACCCCCAAAACGGAGCCGGAACGGAGCCGGAGAGAAGGAGAGACCTAGCTGTCTCAAGGAGATGACGGTGTTTACGCTCAGCTCGACCATTTTGGGCAGGTGTATCAGTACAAGAAGTTTGGTGAATAGTACCCAATTTGGCCAAGTATTCACAGAATTCAGTTTTAAAGTATTCTCCACCCAGGTCAGATCGCAACAATTTAATAGTAGAGCCAAACTATGTAGTGACCATAGACTGGAAGGTACGGTATATTTGGTAGAAGTCAGATTTATGAGTCATAAGATAAACCCAAGTATAACGGGTGCAGTTATCAATAAAAGACACATAATATGTAGAGCCTCCTTTAGTAAGAACAAGAGAGGGTCCCTAGACATCAGTATGTACAAGAGAAAAAGGAGAAACAGAAATAGAGGTACTTTTATTAAATGGTAAGGCTGACATTTTAGCAAGTTTACACCCCCGACATTCATCAATTTGACTAGGAGAAACTTTACCCAACAACCCTGACTGAGCTAAAGACTGTAAGCTGTCAACAGACAAATGACCGAGGCGAGAATGCCATAAGTAAAACTGACTCGACTGAGAATCTAACTGAAATGAGGAAAATGCAGCTAGAGAAGTGGATAAGGGGAGATGCAAGCTTTCGACTACATAGAGGTCTCCAATTCTACGGCCAGTCCCAATCTGCTTCTTGGACACCCAATCCTGCACACAATAGACAGAAGAGGAAAAGATAACATCAAAACCAGACCTATCAAGTTGACAAATGGATAATAAACTAACAGATAACTGAGGAACATAAAGAACAGAAGGAATAGTAAGACAGAATAGACATACCGGATCCATTAGCAGTATTAATAGTAATTGGAACGGGTGGGGGAATACAATTTTGAAGTAAGGAAATGTGAGGAGTCATATGATGAGAGGCACCAAAATCAAAAAGCCAGACAGAAGAAGGGATACCTGAAGAGGACCCAAGCAAACCTGAATGAAGAGAGGCAAGAGCGGAGGCAGATGTGGATGACTGAGAGGTGGACAGGATATGCTGAAGTTGTGCAACCTGAGCACTCAAGGAAGCCAAGTTAGGATCGGGAGCCGAAGTGGATGCAGTGTAAGTAGCAGAAGGTCGAAAAGTACTCGAAGTAGGACCTCGAAACTGTGTCTGAGGAGATGGAGCAGGCTAACGTCCCTTTTTGGGACAATTGTTCTTCCAATGACCCCTTTGATGGCAGAAAGCACACTCATCTGGCCCTAATGGTTCTTTCTTGGGTTTCGCAGTGGCCTGAAGCTGATGAGGAGGAGGGGTCGATAACAAGGGCTGCTTGGTAGGAGCCAAGAAGACAGAAGGAGGCAAAGTCTGACTGGCCGTCTTAAGACGGGTTTCTTCAGAGAGGAGTTCACGAACAATAGCATCCACAGAGGAAAGAGGAGATCGATGAAGGATGCCACCTCGAATAGCCTCATACTGTGGGGAGAGGGCTATTAAAAACTGTACTAAACGACCTTGCTCCCGGAACTCAATATAAGTGTCTAGTATCTTGAGACTAGATGGTTCCATAAGAGCCAACTGATCCCAGAGACCTGTCATCTCAATATAAAAGTCCTGAATAGTCTTATCCCGCTGACGAGCATTCTGAATAGCTGTTTCCAACTCATACCGCTTGGCAAAGTTGGAGTGCTGATGGTTCCATAAGAGCCAACTGATCCCAGAGACCTGTCATCTCAATATAAAAAGTCCTGAATAGTCTGATCCCGCTGACGAGCATTTTGAATAGCTGTTTCTAACTCATACCGCTTGGCAAAGTTGGAGTGCTGATGGACACCTAGTAAATAATCCCACACCTCTTTGACAGTATTGTACTTGGAAAACATCATTCCAATACGGTCAGCCACGGAATTATGAAACCAGGTCAGAACTTGGGCATTATCACAATCCCAAGTATCACAGGAAGTCAGATATCCATCCTCCTTTGGGTCTGATGGTCGAGGAATAGAACCAAAAACATAGCCCCATTTTTTTCAACCGAGAAGAAAATTTTTCACAACACTAGACCAATAAGGATAGTTGTCACCAGTAAGTTTGCATTTAATAGCCTGAATTTTATCTTTTGACATTGTGATGAACCAAAAGGAAAAGATGCAGCAAAGTGTGATAACTAGCAAACATAAAAAGAATTGAGGGGTCAAAGTATAATAATCAGGAACTTGTTTGGTCCAAAAGAAGAATGAAGGAGAACTGGTGGTAACGAAAGACAGCCGTAGGTCAACTTCGAACCACACACACAGAGACAGAGAGAGAGAGAGAGATTGAGGGAAGAGAGAAAGACGACGAGTAATCACTATAATCGACTTTGTGGTGAAGCAGCTCAATTTAACGGACCATAGACTCTAAGCCCAGACTATTTGACTTGCAAGCTGCGATGAGCGAGTATCTGAGTAGAGCTTATGGTTATAGATATGTAGAGAAAGAGAACGACTGCGTATCGAACGTATCGATCGACTCAGAGTTGTCTCAATTTAGTGACAGTCACCGACCAAGAGGCTAGGGTTTTCACGAAATGGTTGCGAGCAGAGTATCCGGAGCGAACGAGCTCGAGCACGGATGAGACAGTTTTTAGATAATTAGAGGATTGACAATGATACCAACTTCCTTACTTCTCATTCAAATAGAGTTTCAGAGTAATGATTCAAATATTTGGGGAAACCACGGTTTGTGCATGTTATTCAAAATAATGTTACTTTTAGGAGTTGTTTGTTTTTCGTTTGTATTTTTTTTTTCCTTTGTGTTTTTGGCGCTAACCCCTTGCAGGCAATGACACATATAGACATGGTTAATCATTTAAGGTAATCTCCTATACTTTTTGATTTTATTTTTTACATTTAGGACAATGCATCATTTAGGTTGGGGGCAGAAAATACTTATTTTGAGAAGAATTTATATATTTGCTTGTTGCTATGAGTTAGTTGTTTTGTTTTTTTAAAAAAAAAAGTTAGTGCTCATGGTAATCTTTTGTTCTATACATTGGGTGATTGGGCATACTTGTGGTATTTTATTGCTTTCACTCGAGAATTGTGTTGAAGTTTGATATGCTAGCTACTTTGTTAAAGTATTCCGTGTGTTCATATTTGGAAATCATTGCACTACACTTCTGCCACATGTATATGATTTTTAGTTGATAAGTGGATATGACTTGAAAATCTTGAAGAATGATAGTAGAGACTTTTAACCCTGTGAGTTTTGTGCCAATCATTTATTGGAGGGTTATTATACATCTACTCTTAATTTTTCTTTGGAAGCGCATTAATTTATTGTTTAGTCTCGTTGTTTTTTCATTTTTTGTTGAATGCTGAGAATAAATCAATTTGTTATTATACTTTTACTCCCTCGAGGACAATGCATCGTTCAGGTTGAGGGGAGAAAATACTTATCTTGAGAAGAATTTATATGTTGCTTGCTACAATGAGTTAGTTGTTTTGTTTAAAAAAAAAAAAAGATAAGTGCGCACGGTAATCTTTTGTTCTGTGCATTGAGTAATTCAACATACTTGTAGTATTTTATTGCTTTAACTCAAGAAATTGTGTCGAAGTTTGATATGTTAGCTACTTTGTTAAAGTATTCCATGTGTTCGTATTTGGAAATCATTGCACTGCACTTTCGCCACATGAATATGATTTTTAGTTGATAAGTGGATATGACTTGAAAATCTTGAAGAATGATAGTGGTGACTTTTGAGCCTACGAGTTTTGTGCAAATCTTTTATTGGAGGGTTGTGATACATCTACTCTTAATTTTCTTTGGAAGCGCATTAATTTGTTGTTTAGTTTCATTATTTCTTAATTTTGGTTGAATGTTGAGGATAAATCAATTTGTTACCATACTTTTATTCCCTTGAGATCATGAATTGAGAGATGATTTTAGGCCATCTTTGTTTCATTGAGCCTTTTATTTATCTTTCTTTCCTTTATTATTACTTCATTAGAAACCAATTTGAGCCTTTATGTTAGCCTTTCTTTGTTTAACCCCACAACCCATACTTTCTTTTCAATTTTGTAGATATGTTGGGTAATTTGAGTTTGACAATGGCAAATTTGTTTGAAAAAAAAAAAGTAAAAAAAGGAGAGAAGATGGAAAAAAAGAAGAAGAAATAAATTGTGTTCAACGAGGGGGGGGCAAAACGAAAAGAAAAAAAAAAGCAGGAGGAGGAAGTTGAAAAAGACAAAAAGCAGGAGGAGGAAGTTGAAAAAAAAAAAAAAAAAAAAAAAAAGTAACAAAAAGAGCAAGACATTTGGAATAATGCTCTAATTGTGTTTGTGTTTATGCCAATAATCTCTCAGATTAGAGCTTATTTTTATGCCAATAATGTCTCAGACATCCATTTTTTTATTCAACTTTGCGTTTTTATTATTTTTTCGTAATTCCTTAACCCAAACATTACAACCAAATAAAAGTCCTATTTGATCTTGAGAGTGGTATAGTTTACAAGTGGACATGATAGACAGGGGTGATGGTATGGTAATTTTAATTCTCAGTATTTGGTATTCCATTCATGAGACTATTTATTTATTCTTTCATTATTGCGTTTTTCCAAAAAATTAGTATGCGGGATATTTTGCCTTTGATTTACATTATTCTACTCGCATATATTGAGAGTAATTTTTATACCATATTCTGAGTGATTTATTTGTTGAGTGCAATAACTGGTGAGATTTGAGTCGAAGCATGTTACAGAAAGAGATTTGGGTTATATTTCACATTAAGGCTAAGGTTGTGTATGTGTTGGCTAAACTTTTTCACAACACTCCAATTTGAATGTCATGAGATATCTTTACTTGCTGCTAGTGTCTTGAACTTTGATTGATTATTTGTTAAGGTTGTGAAATTCATGACTTGTTATTGAACTTTTAGGATGAGAACGAAAGAAATCCTTCGAGTAAAGAAATTTTTTGACGTTTGTGGGTAACATTTCTAGAAATTTTAATTCTCAGTATTTGATATTCCATTCATTAGACTATTTATTTATTTTTCATATTAGCGTTTTTCAAAAAAATTAGTATGCGGGATATTTTGCCTTTGATTTACATTGTTCTACTCGCATATATTGAGAGCAATTTTTGCACCATATTCTGAGTGATTTATTTGTTGAGTGCAATAACTGGTGAGATTTGAGTCGAAGCATGTTTCAGAAAGAGATTTGGGTTATATTTCACTTTAAGGCTAAGGTTGTGTCTGTGTTTGCTAAACTTTTTTAACACACTCCAAATTTTGAATGTCATGAGATATCTTTATTTGCTGCTAGTGTCTTGAACTTTGATTGATTATCTTGTTAAGGTTGTGAAATTCATGGCTGGTTCTTTAACTTTGGCATGAGAATGAAAGAAATCCTTTTAGTAAAGAAATTTTTGGATGTTTGTGGGTAACATCTTTGGAAACCCTCACGAGACTTTTACTCGTCCACGAGGGGTAACCTATTGGATTAAGGGCTTGTTGCAAGTGCTAAATTCAATCGTGATTTCTTGCAGAAGTGGTTTAGAGTTGTTGCTTTTATTTTACTTTTTGATTTTATTTTAGTCAGCCTAATTGCTAGGTTCTAGCAATAAAGCTGGTTGGGAGGTGTGATTAATGCTTAAAATTACATAGTTGTCCTATGAATTTTGGATATTATATTCATTCTCTCAATTTGTATTTAATTGTGATTTAATGAATTTAATGTAAATTTGTAGAAAAACTACATTTGAGCCTTCAACAATATCAATTGCTCAACATGGCCCATAAGACTCGGTGTGCTTCTAAATCATCTCATAACATCCACAAAACCTCTCTCAAAGGTTAGTCAAGATTTCATTGTACCTCCAGTCCTTTAATATTTTGATTTTGGTCTTCAAATATTTATTTGTTTTTCCTTTTAATTACTACCCATCTTCTGTTCTTTATTTGTTCCTTTTATGAAATGTATATTTGGCGACTTAGATAATAGCAAAAACACTAGATCTGACCGCAATGTCGTCAAGGGTGCTCGGGCTGCTCGAATTCAGCAAAACAAATGGTAATTTTTATCTTAATTTTCTACCCCCTCTACATAAGATGTATACCTTTTTACTGACAAGGGTCTTGTGTTTGTAGCTTTTCATCCAATAAAGGATAATATTTCTATTGCCTAAAGGCAGGATTGCATATTTTTGTCGATAAGGAAGCAGAAAAGGTGTGCTGTTTCGGAAGAAAAAAGGGCATCCAGTTGATTGACTAGTCCTCCCCGTGTCATTGTATATGATATGTTTTTAATGTTAATATTGTTTGTACCCAAAGGAATTGTTAATCCTTCACAAAAGGTTCTTTTGTATAAAACTAGACTACATTTGTTTCCTGGTAAATTGAGATCTAGATGAACTGGGCCGTTTCATAGTTAAAACTGTTTTTTCTCATGGGGCCCAGATTGAAAATCCCAAGAATGGTAATGTTTTTAAAGTGATTGGCCAACGTCTTAAACCAGTTTTGGAGAATTTCCCACATGGAGAGGAGAGGAGTCCATCGAATTAAAAGACCCTATTCATTCATTCATTCATGTTTGAGCTGGTAAAGATGTTTGTAGTCCTTCTTTCACAATAAGTTATTTATGGGGAAAAAAAGAAATTATGATTTTATCTAACAATTATTCTCTATTTATGATGGCATATCATATGATAAATCGTATTTGAAAATCACTGTTCCAATATTTGATTGCAGTGAACTTTTAGACCCTGTTGTTGCTGAAGCTACACTGGACTTTCGGAATCTTAACAAGAGAAAACTTTTAACTAATTTCCTTACATTTCTCCCTCAGGTATGATTTGAAATTGGCATGATTCTTTGCTTGGGGTTTAGTTTCTTTATTTGACTGAATTTTCAGATTTAGAAGTAGAAAAGAAGTATGAAACATGTATATCAAATATTTTGGTAACTTATCCTCCTCTAACATCAGTCTTGCATTTGTAGTTTTTCCCATTAATGCTAAGTTCCTCGTGTCATCTTTTTGGTGTTGTTCTTAAAAGATATATTTAATTTATTTTATTGGAATGATCTTAGTTATAATTTGTGCAATTGTTGTGTCCTCGCGATATTTGTATATGACAAATGCCAATAGTGCTAGATATTGGGATTGAAATAAAGGAGTGTCTTGAAAATAGGTCAAACAGTTAAAAGAAGTGCATTAATTTCCATAAAAACTACATTGAATTTAATAAAAAGTGTCTTGTGTTTTCAAAAAAAAAATTTGGGTCTACTTTTCGTTTCCCTGGGACACTTGTTAACAAGACCCTTCATATATTGGTATTCATAATTGTAGTTTTATTTTATTTTTGTCCTGTCAATGCTACTTCAGAAATAAATTTTGTTGCTTATGTGATGCCACATCTTATTTTGTATGTTTAAAGTTATTATGCACCTTCCCGACCTTGTTGGAACAAAATATGGTATAATAATTTCGTACTGAAACTAATTGAGCCTAATGGAAATTTTGACAACTAAACACATGTTTAATTTCAAAAAGGAGGATCTAAAAGAATGCTTTCGGAGATACTGTGGACTCAATCTGCAGTGAAGGGCATTACTGACTTTCATACATATATATATTTTTTTTGTTTTCTTTTTTGATGCAGATTTGAAAAATCGTTTCTAAGTGTGTTTCCAGCATTGATGTCTCTTGGGTCATTTGTTCAGCTATTTCCATCTCTCGTTGACTTACCAAGTAAGTTTGTTTTCCTGGATTCCCTAGTAGTTACATCCTGCTCCTTTTTCATGTCTTTCTTTTGTGGCTTTCGTCTCTTGCCTCATTTCACCAATAAGCAAAAGCCTAAGGATACAAAAAAATTTACCAAAAAATCTACCACTCACATGGGTGTTGTGGGACCAACACCCATGTGAGTGTTTGCTAGAACATTTGGGGTCTAGCATTATTGTTCACCAATTGAAGTTCTACTTACTCTATTAACAGCTGCACCTTGTTATTTTCCTTCTATTGATTTATTGATCTAGCCAAGTAGGCCATTTCGAAATGCCTCAATTAAAAGAGTTCAAAAATTCAAAATCTATATGCTTGGTACTAGTTGGGAAATTGAATTTTTTTATTTTGAATATAGTTGATATTTGTTGGTTTTCCTTTTCTCGGCTTCTCTAGCACGTAGGCATTGTTCGTCATGGTATGCTTTTTCGGGGGTAAGTTTTTATTGCCATAAAAGGGGATTTACAATGAAGGTCAAAACATGCCAAAGGCAATACCCCCTCTAGAAGAGAGCTTACGCCTAGCCTGCAGAACAATTAAACTTCAGTAGTTGGTATTTTAGGATAGAAATTTGTGTGCTTTGCAAATCCTTAGAGCCTGGTGTGAAGAGAAAATTGAGAAATTAATTGGCATGAGTAGTATTTTATTTTTGAGTTATTACTTATGTCTACAAATTGGGTTTCTTACTTAACCAACAACAAAAAAAAATAGAAAAAAGAAAAGAAAACGAATAGGGTTAAGTTAGTAGTTTATTGGTAGTAGTTGCTACATAATTGATGTCTGTTGGGCTATATATAATAAATCCATGTGTTTTTTGGGAGATAAATGTAGACCTTTTTTTATTCAATGGCAACTAAGTAGCGAGTAGTAACACAAGTGATGAAGATTAAAGAATTCCTCAACTGAGCACTGAGTCAACAACTAGGTAATCTCAGTTATCTCTCAAGAATTCCTTCACTTACATTGCTTCCATTGCTTGGAAATGGAGACTAAATTGGGCGCAAGTTTTTTTTGGTTTTTATGTTTTTCATTTATCCATTTCCATGTTGTGCTGCAGAGCGTGATTCTTTGGAAGATGACATGGGCATGGAGATAGAAGGTAATGGGCATGCCTGCATATCTTCAACCTGATCTGGAAGCAGATCTCATCTTGCCTTCGACACCAACTGGCAGAGTCAATTACCAGGTAATTTCTAATCTCAGTTATCACTCAAGAATAATTTCACTTACATTGCTACAATTCCTTGGAAATGGATATCGTATTTCATGAATAAAAGATCAAAATTATTTTGTTGACACGACTTCTACATGTTCCAACTAGTATGGTGTTAGAATTGTATGATGCACGATTCGATTCATACAATTTATTGAGTTTCAACCAAAATTATTTGAATTGTGTTGTTTGAAAATTGGGTGTGTTGTTGAATTGAGAATTGAGTAGTTCGTCTATGTTTTTGTTTACATAATGTATTAAAATGACGCCTTTTCTGTTACTCTATGATGAAACAAAAATAGGGCAATTGGTTATACTGATATACGTGGTGTTATATATAATTTATTTATATTGATACCATGTAGTATTTGACTTGATTGCTTCAGTGTTCCCACATATGTGTGAGGTTTGGAAATTCCTTTCTAATAATTTGGGTTGTATTTCATGATAAGCATCCTGTGGATCTTGTATGAGAAGGAAATAAGAAATGGAAAAAAGAGTGGAAAAAAAAAACTTTGTTAATAGTTTCATGTGGAGAAACATGCAAAGAGCGAACTGCTAGTACATATACTATCTTTTTTTTTTTTGGGTGAATAAGACATAAATAAAGACGAGAATTTACAAGATTACAAGGGGAATACCCCAGGCCCTACAACACTATACAGCGGAGAACCGAACCCAAACCAAAAGCAGCGAGAACAATCAAAAGAAAAACAAAACCAAAATACAATGTTCAGGAGCCATATCCAAAGAAGATAGGGTAAGTGAACACAGCAAATCAACCCAAGATAAATAGCATAAGTACATATATTATCTTATGCAATTTTATCTTTTCTTTTGTGGAGGTTTTGTTGGAATTTTGTATTTCATTTGCTGTGACGTGTTATAGAAACCAAAAACACCCTTTTCGTAGTTTTTAGATAATTAGAGATCAATGATTCCAACTTCTTTACTCCATTCAAAAAGTTGTTCAAGATAATTGATCAAAATCATTCTGATGACCCAGTTTGTGTATGTTATTCAAAATAATGTTACTTTTTGGAGTAGTTAGTTTTTCGTTTGTATTTTTTTTCCTGTGTGTTTTTGGCGTTGACCCCTTGCAGCCAATGACACATATAGACATGGTTAATCATTTAAGGTAATCTCCTTAACTTTTTGATTTTATTTTTTACATTAAGGACAACGCATCGTTAGTTTTTTTGAGACTAAAGAGTGGCAGCCAAATTTGACGAAAGTAATTTTGGTTTAGGTAAAGAAACAAGATTGATTGGGAAGGGGCCCATCCATGGAGGAGAAAGCAATAGAGGCTTTGAAGAAGTTGAATGGGAATATGGCCCTGCTATTATGTCTCTTTGTTGTTGGCCCTTTTTGGTATGGCGTGAATCTTATTGTTGAATCGATGGTCTAGGTATTTGATAGGTGGACAGGGTGGTTGGTTGTGAAGAGGAGAGGACTAGAGGAGTGGTGTGGAAAGCAACATGCTAAAAGTCACCAATTTCCCAAAAGCTTAAAGCTGTTAGGAAATGAGCCTAACAATGTATATTGTGCTATTTAGCACCCTCCTTCACATGCAACTCCATCTTGCACGTGGAAAGACAAAGAACCAAACATAAGGAGATTCAAACAACCAAACAGAGAACACGAAACCAAATGGGGTCTGAATACCAAATACCAAATAGAGAGATTTGAACCTAAGACCTCTCTCAGCCTTAACTCTAATACCATGCTTTTGGGAAAATTGGTGACTTAACACAGTAGACCTTTTTAAGTCTTGATTATTGTGTTCATCACCAACTGGAAGATGCATACTCAACTTGCACTCACTTTACAGATTATTAATAATGTTACTTATAAAGCCATAAGCATGCTGAATGCGATTGTAAATGTTACTCTTTGAAAATAGAATTTTTTATTTTTTATTTTTTATTGTTGTGTGTGTTGTGAAATAATGATTGAGGTTGTTAGAGTTTTTTTAAATAAAAAACTTCTATGGGTGTTTTTCAGATATATCTATGCTGTTTTGTTGGCTACTGGTGGTAAAAGGCTTGGATGTTAGAAGATAAATATAATTGACCTTTCTACTGCTACTTGGTGGTATTCTTAGTTGGCTATTGGTGGTAAAAGGCTTGGATGTTAGAAGATAAATATAATTGACCTTTCTACTGCTACTTGGTGGTATTCTTAGTTGGCTATTGGTGGTAAAAGGCTTGGATGTTAGAAGATAAATATAATTGACCTTTCTACTGCTACTTGGTGGTATTCTTAGTTGGCTATTGGTGGTAAAAGGCTTGGATGTTAGAAGATAAATATAATTGACCTTTCTACTGCTACTTGGTGGTATTTAGGATCTGGCTTGTATCTTTACATTGTGTGTATTTTGATTCTATCTACTCTCAATGTGTACTCATGCAATTCTTAAATCATTGATTAATAACTTATTTTACTTGTTAGAACAATAGACCAGAGATTCTAATTCATAATTTGCAACACTATCATGGACAGGATAGAACTGCGTTTCTGTTTCTTTTTTTCCCATCACTGCTACTTGTGTTAAGGTCGTGGTTATGGGGTGGATTGCCTGTTCAGCTTTACCAGGTACTTTTGTATGGGAAAAATTTTTGTAACTTATATTGATATTTTAAGGAAATTTTAACTTTTTGATTTGTTTACTATACTTTTGTTTTTTTGTTTCTAAGCGTAATGAGCATATTATTTTCAGGCATGGTTGTTAATTCTCTACACAGGTTTGGCTTTGCGGGAGAACATACTTAGAGTGAATGGAAGTGATATTCGCCCATGGTAATTTGATATGATTTTATATGCATTTGGTTGAATTTTGTGGTAAGATTGCCTTGCCTTTATTCTTCATCATTTAAACTATTTGTGTATTTGTGATTGAGATTTTTTTAAAACATATTTTCATAGTCAGACATTAGTAATTTCATCTCCCATGCCTTTCAGGAGGGAAAGTGAATATGCAATTTTACTGGCAATGAATTAGAAAATGAACAGAGGGTAGAGTATATGGGAAAAATAATGGTTGTCAATAATGAAAGGAGGACATTACTCTAGATGGAGCTACATGTTGCAAAAGAATTCATTGAGTTGACTCCAAATAGACATGTTTAATTTTGTTAAATTGAGTTTTTCTGGCAGTATCTTGTTCCCTTATATGCAGCAGCAGTAGCTACATTCTAATTCCAGCGAATTTCTGCCATGTTCAATATTACTGGACTCATATCATGCTTTTTGTTCAACTGGCAGGCTCATTCTCTTTATTTTCCGAATTGTGTCAGAACTTGGATGAAAATGTGAAAATGCAATGGATTTTTTTTTGTGATTCTTATCTGCCTCCTAGATTAATATGCATACAACCACATAATATGTTAATGCTTGCACTTGTGCTGATGTAGGTGGATAAAACATCACTACTTCGCTATGGCCATGGCACTTATTAGTCTCACCTGGGAGATAGAAAGAGAACCTGATTATTCCCAGAAGCAGGTTATTATCCTTCTTAAGTGCATATTGAAATTTTGTTTTTGTTTTTGTTTTTGTTTTTAATGAGTGAGACTGTACATGTACTGTGCAGAGAGGGGTGCAACTGTTCCTTCAATGGGCTATCATGTAAGGAGTTGCAATGCTTCTACAAAATAGATATCAACGGCAAAGGCTTTGTACACATATTGCACTCGCAAGGTGTAATTGAAAAGAAAAAAAACTCCTTTCACCAACAAATTTCTATGCATGCTTCATTTTTGCCTTTATTATCTTTAGTTCTTTCTGCAGTCTACTTTGCGTGTGTGTCTGCACTTGGTTGTGTGCTCTTTGTGAAACCTTGTCGTCCTGCATGGTTTGCAGAGCTTCAATGAGTTCTTTTGCTTCTGCTGGTTGGAATAACCATGTTTTTGTCTTCTAGCCGATCTGTGTTAGTTTTTTATGGCCCACCGAAATACAGATAGAACTTTTTTTTGGTGGGCATATAATGTTTATTGCAATTGTTCTCCTCTGCAGGTCTAGGATGACTCTTACCATTTGATCCCGTTGTTATTTGCAGGCTAGGAGAATGGACGTTGTTTGGGGAGAAACTGCTGGAGTCGACGGTCAACTATGGTTGTTGGCACCTATTCTATTCATATTACAGGTGATTTAAGCGGTACAAATGCCTGTTTTGGGGACCATGCCCACAAAAGATCATATTAATGTATGCTTTGCCATCCAAATCATGTTGAATCAAACAAACACTAAAGCGATTTAAATTAAGGTTGTTAAATATTCATTTTTTTTCCTACATAACTTGCCAAAAGTTATGTACATATATAAATAATTAAATATATATAACAGCTAGGGAAGGGAAGTTTTTGTTACTATCAAACATCATCACATTCCTAGAGTGTTTTCTTTCATTACTTGCTGAAGTTGAAGTCATATTATCATTCTCTTCTAGTTTGCCATCCAACAATCCTAATTTTATACATGTAATGCAACTTTCTCTTTCATCACAGCTCTCTCTTTTTGTTTTAAACTTCTTTGGCTCACATGTCATGATGTCACCATGAAGTTATTTGATTTTTTTTTTTCGTTTTTTTCTTTGAAGATATTAGGAAGATGCATGCTCACCAAAAAAAGGAAAGAATCTGTACATCATTGCATGATGATCATTAATTGCCCAATCCTTCAGTGAAAAAAATAATGAAAGAAGATCCAGTACTTCAAAAGAAATTTGTTTGGGATAAATTAAATAAATGCACTTTTTGATTTTTCATGAAATATGGGTTGGGTATGGATTGGGTTTAAAGTGATGTAGTAGAGAGGTGATGTGACTTAAATAAGATGATGTGACTTAAATAGGATAGTGATTTTTTGACTTTTTAGCTTTTTTTGGTTATGCCAAACCAAGCCTTACTTACAGCATGCCTACAGTATTTGTGATGGACTTTTTTAGCTTCTCCAGACCTTTCATTTGCTTAATAGTTCTACTACATATTTTCTTCAGTAATAGGTCTCGCAAATTAATTGTTCGCTTTCATTTGTTAGTTGCTACTAATCCAATAGATGAAGCAACAATATGTCACCATAGAGATCTAAGCTAAATTGAAGTGACCTTTATTTGTATGTTCTTGATTTCAGGGTTTTGAAGCATATGTTGGAATTTTGCTACTTAAAGTTGCACTAGCTGGTGTTGTTTTTGAGTGGCAAGTAAGAAGTATGTTTTGAGTATTGTTATGTGGATGCTTGGAGAAGTATTGCCATGGGTTTTATGTTTGTGATTTACTTTGCTTTTAAGATTAAATTCTTAATTCTGTTTCAATATTTGCTTGAATAATTTAACATCTTAGTTGGACTCATACTCTAGGTTGTTAAAATCGGGATCCTAGGTAGGATCGTAAGGTGAAAAATAAAAAAATCAACGATCCTACTTATGATCCTACCTATGATCTTATACGATTCTACATGATCCCATATGATCCTACTTGCGATCCTATTATAGCACCCATCCTACAATGATATGGATCTTTTTAGCAATATAGGATCGTAGGATACGATCCGGATCGCGATTTTAATAACCATTCTCATACTGGTATAAAACTTAATGGATTATCTAATTTACTTTTGGTCAGGTTGTTACCTGTGGGGTGCTACTAATTGTTATGGCAGTTGGGAATTTTGCAAACACAGTGCAGACACTAGTGGCAAAATCTCGGTTTAAAGCGAAAATGAAGAAAACTAAAAGTAAGGTAGAACTAAATTAGGGATCCCATCCCATTCCTTATAATTTGTGACCGGGAAGAATGTTGTGCTAGTTGAGTTCGAGGATATGAGAATTTCTTTCGCAACCCGTTATTCCTTGTAACAACCTTCTCACCTTTCTACGCTTAGACTAGTGATGATGTTTGTGAGAGTGACCTTTAATTGCATCAAATAGAGCTATAATTTGGTTGTTACAGTTGTGCCAATAGTCTATTATACCTATTATTTTGTGTAATTTGTCTTTTTGTGAATTAAGTAGACACATTATACCGTCACCCTTCCAGAGCTTTTTTGTGTCTTCTGTCATTTTGAATCTGGTTGTTTTGTTTTATTTATGGGCTAATTACACGGACGTCCCTGTGGTTTCTAAAATGAAATTACATTGTTCTCTCTTAGCAACGGAAATGTCTTATTTATATCAGTATATTTTGGCAACTAGATGCCAAAATTACCTTTTATTTCTTAAATACTGAACACCCAACTGAATCCATCCGGCCGAGGCCCTTGTGGCCGACTGGCATGCAGTCGTGCCTTAGGGTTACCGCGGTGAGTGGAAAGTTTGAGGTTCGAGTTGACGGATCAACGACGGTTCCTTAAATTTATAATCTAATTTTACTAACATACTAACATTCTATCTTTGACCCAAAAAAAAAAAAAACTGAATCTATCCTTGCAACCAAACAAGCCACATTAATATTAGCATAACAAGCAAACACCCCCTTATCTTCGACTATTTTCTTCCATCTTCCTCCCGTTCCTTCTCCATTGGCAACACCACCACATTTCACAGTGGGAGCAAAACCTTGAGTAGGGAGGAGATGGCGACAACTCTCTCTTATAGTCCCTTTTGAAAATCTCTCTTTCCTTCTCTCCAACAACATACACTAAATCCATCGTAACCATTGTAAACTTGGGCTACTACAGCTGGTTTTCTAGTGCACTTGTGTTGTTGGTTGGTTGTTGGTTTTCTGTTGGAATGCTTGTTGCTGATAATGGTTTAAATGCGAGCAAACTAATTTTTATAAAATATATATATAAATAAAATTGTATAAAATTGTATATATTTTAAATGCGAACAAACTAATTTTTATAAAATAAAATTGTATTAAAAAGTCATCCAATATAACGTTCCAGCATACATAAAAATATATAACAATGTTTCACTTATTACAAATACCTTAATAATTAAAATATTATGTACTCTAATATTACGCATTGAAGCATGAGGAAGGAGCATATCTTGCTTTCGGAGAGTTGAGATACATGTTTGTAAAATTAATTTAAATTGAATAGATTACAATTGTCCATTTTTTTTTCGTTGTGACAAATGCAATAAATTAAATAGGTTATGATTATTAAATCGATATAATTTTTCTGTGTTCACGAAATAAAAAATGAAATGTCCAACATCTTTAGTAGTTCGAATTATCAAAACGAGATCTATGACAGACGTCATAAGACTAAATAGCGCTCTTCAATTCAAATTATGGACCGGAGAGAATTTCCTCATATAAAATAACTACATTAGTGGTTGTGTTTTTTTTTCTCTCTCTAATTTAAGAGTGGATCGGAGAGAATTCCCTCATATAAAATAACTACATTAGTAATTCTTTTTTTTCTCTCTCTCTCTCTCTCTCTCTCTCTCTAATTTAAGAGGTTTCATAGGGAGTAGGGAATCGAATTAAGAGGAAGATCCCTTTCATTTCAAAATTTGGATTAGAAAGCATTATTTTGGCCCATGAGGCCTACAACATGTTGCGTTTCGATAATCTGAATCGTTCATTTTATCAAACACTTTGCGTATTTCATTTACACAAAAAAATTTAAATCCAAACAAAATACATTTAAATTAAGTACATCTAAAAAATACATTTAAGTGCATCTGAAATGTAAACAAATCATGATCATGAACTAGCAATTCTCTCACCATCGCTTCACATTCTTCATTATTTTTCATTTCTTCAGACGACTGAACAACAACATCCAAATCATCTGACATGAGCTCCTCAAAAGTGAATTCAACTTCCTCATCATCTCCTTTCCATGAATTGTCTCTCTTACTCTTCATCTCTTCAAGAGACATCAATAAATAGGACTGTTATTTCTCCAAATTACTCGTATATTCTTTCAGAATCGACAAGTTAAACTTCAAAACATCCACAGGATGCCAATTCAATTTGTAGAGCGCCGTCGCCAAATCGGAAGGAGTGCCAACAAGAGAGAAAGCGACGCCGCCGATGTGGAGACGAGAGATTTCCACAACTTTCTTAAAAAGGCTTTGACGGCCAGTGGCGGAACCAGAAAATTAAATTAGAGGCACTTATTAATTACAATATCGAAAATTTTTATAAAAATATTTCATGCAAGTTTTTACGATTGATTTCGAGAAACATCAAAAAAATAATGTTATTTATAACAAGTGTATCATGGACAATATAAAAAAAATATAGATATAAGTTGAAGGTAATGACTACCGCAGCAACTACTGCCGCCGCAACCAAACTTACGGAGGGAACATCCCGCCAAGATGATAGCGGCTTCTGGGAAAAGCTTCCCCTCTGCAAGGAGAGGGTAATGCCTAGTGCTGATAGCAGGCCTTAAGACATTACTATAGCAGGCCCCGAGACTTACTGGTTGGAGCTGATAACAGGCCCAGGGTACCAGTTTACCGCTATGATCCCGCGAAGATGGGAGTAGGGTAGCCCGAGCATGAGGGACTCCCTTTCCATTACCCAGGTCATGGGTCTACCTTAGTCGCACATACAGGACTAAGAAACCCCCTTGAGCTTGGTTCTAAGGCACAGCATGGCTGATAGCAGACTTGGCTGTGGCCTTCGCCCTAGGAAGTTGGGGAGTTTGTGGTTAGGTGGCTAAGGGTGGATGTTTCGCTGAGGTGAACACGAACATGGTTGATAACAGGCTAATGGAGTCCTGAGAATGCGTGTACTGGCCAAATAATACTGAGAAGGCAAGTGCAACGGCAAGGTTCACTGCTGCAAGTGCACTTGCTGAGATTCAGGCTGAGAAGGCAAATGCAGAGGCAAACACTCTCGCTGCAACTGGACTTGCTGATGCTCAAAAAGGTAGTTACGAAGGCAAACAGATAGTACACAGTATATGCAGAGGGACACGTGGCACCTTCAGCCTGGTGGCTCAAGGTAGAATATTCCATGACTGGTCAAGCTGTTTAGAGATCGGTAATTGGAATGTGTTTATGCATGGTTATATAGCATTGATTTTAGTTTGATAAATTGTTTGTGGTTGACTGGCCATGGTTTGAACTTAATTAACTACTATGGTCTTATATCAAATACATGTAAAACTTGGGAGGCCAATCTTGATTTTTATTTTATTTTTTTATATTATTAACAAGCTTTCATGGTCTGTGTGCTATTAGGCCAATTACGGAGCTTTACAAGATAACATAGTCTTCCAATTGTCAGCAGTAGGACCACCAATTCATGGTCACTTCAGATTTTAACCGTCATTTTTTCCCCTGTTCCTTTCTTATGAATCCCCCAACCTCTCTCCCTCTCTCTTGTTTATAGAAAGACATACGAACCCAGTTATTAGGGCTTCTCTAGATTTTATTCTTCAAGTAGAATCAACATATCGCTTTCAGGCTTGTGATGCACTCTCTCTTCTCCTCTCTGTCTTCGTTTTCTTGTTGTTTGTTGTTTCCTGAATTAATTGATTTTGTTTAATTATTTGGTTTTATTGTGTTCACAGAGTTAGTTAATAAGCAAATCCTCTGTTATATCAACTGTTTAATAATTATAATTTCTTATGAATGTGCCTATGTATGTTTTTGAGATATTTGTTTGTTGTTGTAGAAAGGTCTATAGTATAGAATTAGGTTGTGTTATCCCTGCTGGGCCGACTTAGCGAATATCGTTCCAAACCACCTTCTTTCAAGAATTTGGATTGACTAATAATGAGTTGCCAGTTCATCACTTTAGTCCAATAATCTTGTTTTTTTCTAATAATTTCTGCAATTGTTTAGGGTTAATTTTTTGAAAATTTCAAACCCTTTTGGGGTCAATTAACAACCAAAATTTTGGTCTGCTTTTGCAGGCCTAGGGCAGTGAATCCAAGATTTAAACTTTAAGAAAACCAGTTGAAGGTAACATTGTTTGGGAAGAATTGTATTAAATGGAAACCGACCAATCTATTACCACTCCTCCAATTTCTCACATTCCAAAGCATAAATGGTTTTATGGCGTTAACAACATAATCAATTATTAGATATTGACCATGCTTGTTCGTTGCTAAGCTCGATTATCATTGTTTATTTTATTTTATTTTTATTTTTACTATGGACTGTTTGATTCCTTGAGAAATTTTATTACTTTCTAGTAAAGATTGGTTTATTTTTGTATGGGGTAGTTGTTGTTCACCTGATGTTGATGGAGCAAAGCTATATTATGTTTTATTTGTTTTTTTGTTTGTTTTTTTCGGTAAGGTTGGCCTTTCAAGTGAACCCAAAAGGCCTTGCTTCGTCCTTTTATCGTTGCTTCTCCCTTTTGGTTGAAATGTTTGAATATTCAATAGCATTAGTTTACATTTTGTATTGTTTCTTTATTTGTTGAATTTCTTTCTTTTTGCTTTTGTACTTGGTTGCTTAAGAAGCACCATTGCTTTCCATAGCTTGTATGAGATACAAGATGGCAATTTTGTTTTTTCTTTATGTAATAACTGAAAATCAAGAACAGATGATTTGCCATATTATCTTTTGTTGGTTGACCTTCAAACTAAATGATGGATCTATTGCCAGCTCTTGATTGTTCTCTATTGGAACAACAGCCAAGGTGCGACATGTTGTTTGGAAATTCTTTTGAAAAAACGTAAGATGACAAGTATGTATTGTATAATTGCGGTGGTGCATACCTGTTATGTAGTGTGTAAGTATTTCAATACTTGAAGCTTGAACTCAATAGAATTTCAAGAATTGCTTACAAGTTTTCTAGTGGTATCTCTCTCTTTT